CTTTACAATGGAGGAGCCTGGGAGAGGCCCCCACGTCACTACAGTGATGCTCCAGGGCTCCCAGCACCGGCCACCAGCTCACAACTGTGTGTGTTTCTTCCCAACTCTGTGATCGGTGACAACACCTTGGTAGCTTGAAACTGGCCGTGGTAGAAGTCTTTACACTGAACATTGGAAAATACTATAAGTGAGGGTTTTCTCTCCCCCCGGAGAACAATTATTAAACATTTTCCAGTGCACCACTGATGTTAATCAAGTGGTCAGAGGTAATATCACTAATATCAGGACAAACGGTCATCGTGTGTCTTACTCATGGTGGCCCCTGGCCTCCCTGCTGCGTCTCCGGATTCCTCGTCATGGTGACTCTCACACAGTAAGCACGTTGTATACTGTTGTCACAAATCCCTCGATATTGTTCTTTAAAAGAGAACCATCTCTTAACTAAGAAGGTCGGGTGTCCAACACTGGAACCTCAGTCATCAGAACAAGTGAAGGAAACGTGGCGGGGGAACCGGCGACTCCGATCACTGCCACTGTCAAGCTCTTGTTCTCGGTTAGACTTGAGGCTTCGTCGTTTCTGCCCCAGACTCCTTGACGGACTTCGGGATCATCAGCAACTTTCGTCTTTAACGTAGTTGTAAAATGAAAAAAAATGTACCTAAAAATCTAGGTAAAGAGTCAGTTTTGCTCTGCAGGTTGGATATTTTTTAAATAGCAAGATTTAAAATAATAAATGATCTCGAAAAGTGGACGATCCAAAATGTCAAGTTCATTCTTCAGTCCCGCCTTTTTTTTTAAAAAAAAAGGGAAGGTAATATTGCAGACATTGTAGAAAATATAGTCAACCAGAACTGTAATTGGAAAAAGGAGTGCTCAACCTCTGTGTGTACTTAGTCCATGTTTGAGGCCTGTCCAGTACCAGTTTACTCCCGTTAACTCCTACTTGTCGTCAAGGAGACACTGACGTGGCCCCACGTGCACCTGTGACGCAGTCGATGGGGGCAGGGCTGGGAGGAAAGGCTAGACGTTCCCATTCTCGGGTATTTACGCCTTTTAAAAATCAGCCCTACTGCCCTGGCCGGTTTGGCTCAGCGGTTAGAGCACCGGCCTGCGGTCCAGAGCGACCCGGGTTCGGTTCCCGCTAAGGGCATGTACCTCGGTTGCAGTTTGTCCCCGGCCCTGGTTGGTCGTGCGGGTGGCAGCCACTCGATGTGTCCCTTTCACGTTGATGTTTCTCTCTCTCTCTTCTTCTCTTTCCCTCCCACTCTATCTGTGCAAAAAATGGAAAAAAATATCCTCGGGTGAGAATAAAAAACAAAAACAAAAACAAAACAGCCCTACTGAGGTAAATTTAGATATCAGAAAAATCCATAATTTTAAGTGTGCAATTAAATGTATTTTGACAAATGACAGTTTTAACCTTCATAATCAAGATACAGAACATTTCTCTCAGCACAAAAATGTCCCTTGTGCCTGTCCCCTACCTACCTCCAGGTCCTGGCAACCCTGATCTGTCACTTGAGTGTGTGGCTTTCTAGACCGTCACACAGATGAAATCCTACAGTATGTCTCTGGTAGCTTGTCCCTGTGTGTTGCTACTACTGTGAGTGTTTCGTTGTAATGCTACACCACAATTTGTTTATCCATCAGCACCTCGCGGACTTTTAGGGGGTTTCCAGTTCTTAGCTATTATGAATAAATCTTTCAGTCTCACTTGAACAACAACCAAGACATTCTTTACCACCATTGCTTTCATTCTGGTTTGTAAATATGGGTAACCACAGATGAGATCATCTGTTTTGAGAACCAAATGAACGCCAGTGGGGAAGACTGACTCAGCTATTCTTCATGAGTCTCTCAGACCCAGCGGAAAATTGCCGCTCATTTTTCTGTGCTTTGGTAGTTTGTTCTCTTCTTCCTTTCTTGTAGTGTATTTCACCTCTTCCTTTTATTCTGGCTACTTTTAATTTTTTTTTTAGGGCCAGGACCAGGCCATACTTATCTTTATTTGACCCAGTGCCTAGCGGGATGTCTTTAACATAGTAGAATTATAATAAATATTAAATAAATCCATGTGGATTTTTCTCTAATCCCTTCCTTGGCTACCTACGTGGTTTTTATTAATTCCTTCAATCCATCATTGCATTACCCCCCCCCCCCAGAGTGTTATGAAATAGGTTTCGCTAAATCAAACTACTTCAGATCTCTCCTCTGCCTCTATATCTCTTGCAATGTAACCTTCGAGCAGATTTCTAATTATTGAGGACCCTCTTTTTTTCCAACTATAATGTGAGAGGATTTGATTAAACAAATTTGAGGTTCCATTTCAGTTCTAACATTCTAAGGTTTTGGAAAAAACCTACTAAGTTGGAAAAAACCCACAAGGGGAAAAGGCAACATGGAAGGAAGGGAGAGGAAGGAGGTAGGAAAGCAAAACTATGCCAAGTTTTTAAATTTTTGTTAATCCTCACCAGAGGGTATTTTCTCCATTGGGCTTTAGACAGAGTGGTAGGGAGAAAGGGAGGGAGAGAGAGAAAAAACATTGATGTGAGAAAGACACATCAGTTGGTTGCCTCCCACATGACCCGGAGCAGGGCTGGGGATCGAACCTATAACCCAGGTATATGCCCTTGACTGTTGGGTCGCTCCCCTTTTCCCTCTCCAGTGGGCATTGGTTTTGAACAGCGCATTTGATGGTCACCCGATTATTAGGGATCTCGGACCCCAGGTCCTCCTACCTGCATGCCCTGCTCTGAGTTGGGTCTGGCTTGGGCGTGTCACCAGTGGGAAAGCCCACGGTACCGTTTCGGCTGCTGCCCACAGTAGTGCTGTCCTCAGTTGGCGAAGCCATTAGAGGCATCTCTTCTAGGCCCTCTTTTAACGTGTCCCAAAAGTTCCTGCCTCCTCATCTAAGACTAGAGCAGATTCTCCCTAAAGACGGCAGCCTGCCTTCCCCTATGCTAAGGGTATTTTAAGAACATCCATTCATTCAGCTCGGTGCCCACTGCCTATGTCCAAGTGCCGAGCTGGGCTCAAGGAACAGCGAGACAAAGATGACAAAGAAGGCAGACGTGGGAACCAGTAACGGCAGTGTGATCAGTGCTATCTCAGTAGGATGTATATGCACAGCATATAGTGAGGACACGGAAGAATGAATAGCTCATTTGGGGAACAGTGGAAGGAGGGGAGGGGAGTCTTGAGCAGGCCTTAAAGGAGTAATGTACACTGAGCAAGGGGACAGGGGCTGGGATGGGGGGGCTGATAGAGGGCGGGGGGGAGGCACTCCAGGAAAACAAAGAGACATGCAGTGATCCTTGGCCAGCAAATACCTGCTGTGACTAGGGAGGCCAAAGTGGCCTAGTCTGACTGTCGTGTGTGCAATAGACCAGTTTGAGCTGAGTGTGAGGCAAGACCCTAGAGCAAATCCCAGGGGGTGTTGTTATTCGAAGCAGCGGAAGGGACCTCACCTCACACTGAGCGTGGCCCCCGATGATTCCGGTTGAGTGGGGTGTGGGCATGTCGTTCTGGAATTCGACACAGCACGGCCGCATGCACCGGCCCGTTCCAGCCCAAGCTTCCCCTGTGCCGCTCTGCGCTCGAACCAGTGGCGTGGGTTCCGCAGCCGCACACCAGCAGCGATGGCTCTGTGGAAGCGTTTTGTTCAGTCTGGCAGAGTCGAGGCAGTAAATATCTCAGTAACTAAAGAGGTGTGGATGAGAAATGCCCACAAGGGGATCAGCAGTCAGAAATATCTAAAGTGGTTGAAGGAAACCCTCATCTCACTTACCCATATCTAGAGTATGAAGAACCACCCCAAAGTGTGTGTGTGTATGTGTGCATAGTGTAAGCATGTGTGTGAGCATGTGTGCATAGGTGTGTGTGAGCATGTGTGCATAGGTGTGTGAGCGTGTGTGAGCATGTGTGCATAGGTGTGCGTGTGTGTGAACAGGTGTGCATAGGTGCGTGAGCATGGGTGTGTGTGTGCATTTGTGTGTATAAGCATGTGTGAGCATGGGTGCATAGGTGTGTGAACATGGGTGTGAGCATGGGTGCATAGGTGTGTGAGCATGGGTGCATAGGTGTGTGAGCATGTGTGTGAGCCTGGGTGCATAGGTGTGTGAGCATGGGTGCATAGGTGTGAGCGTGTGTGTGAGCATGCGTGTGTGTGTGAGAGTGTGTGTGTGTGTGCGCGCGCACTGTCAGGAGCCACAGTGCCGCCCACCTTGAGGTCCTTTGCATCCTCAGGTTCTGATCATTTAGGAAGCGTCTCTCTTTAGGAGCCCCTGTGATTGGGTATTGACCACTGGGGCCCAGTGGGATGGGTCAATATTCAATCCCAGTGCATGGATATTGTCTTTGACTCCAGAAGCTTCTTCTCCTGCAGTTTCTTCCCATGTGACCCAAAGGGGATTTATTATGAAGTGCTGGGAAGTTACTCATTTCATATTCACATATATTCACATTGCGTGGCTGATGTGTGAAAATATTTAGCAAACACATGCCTGTGGTACTGCAAAATCCTTGCCTTGCCTCTAGATCGGTTCTTCTCCTTTATATTTGAGGTTCCATTTTAAGTTTGGGAGGAAAAGCGGAGGTGGTCTACACAGCTTCATTTCCAGAGTTTAAGTTTTGGTGCATGAGCCATGCTGCTCCTGTAATTCCAGGATCTTCGGGAAACGTTAACCAGTCATAAAAGACTCACTAGTGGTGCAAACATTAAGGATGTTACAGCGGAAGGTGTTGGTGTGTTGAAGTTACAAAGTGCCATTATTCGGTTGTCATGATTTTTTGATTGGTCAAGTCGCGTACTCCGTCCCTTTGGATTCACAGCATGTATTTAACATCGTATGGAAGGTCCTTTGGACTTTCCCCCTAATTGGGGGGGGGGGTGAGTCTTCTGCTGAGCAATTTACTGCGTATCAGCTCTCTGCGGTCTGTGGGGGAAAGGCTGGGGGCGCGTGCATCTGTAGATTAAATTCTGTCTCCTCTCTGCTTCGTAGACTGGAAAAAGAGAGCACTCAGCAGACCTTCAGCAGCGAAGCAAAGGCCCAAGCCCTTCAGGCCCAGCAAAGAGAGCAGGAGCTGACACAGAAGATGGAGCAAATGGAGGCCCAGCACGACAGAGCTGGTAGGTGGTGGGGAAGGATTAGAGCCTGGGCACTCGCCTGCGCGCCAGGCCCACGCCTTACTGTGAAATGACATCAGGAACACCTGTAACCTTTGGCTGGCCGAAGGGAGCAGATGCTAACTACACCGGAGATTCCGAATTACATATTAGTTAGCGTTTAACAGAGAAAATGGAAAGTATTGCCCACTGTCTGTTGATTTCAGAGTGCTGCTCTCACATCTGTTGCACCATCTGGATTATGAGTTTATTTACCTGTGTTCAAGAAACGTAAAGCTGAGAGAGACCACAACAAAGTAGAAAAACAAAGGGCTTGTTTTTGGCTGGGTTTTCAGGCACACATGTTATATAAAGAAAATAGCATCAGAAGCTCTGCGGGAAACGCTCTGAGCTTACAGTTAAAGTCTCCTGAATAGCATTGAACAGTTCCCACAGTACACACATTATAGCTACTCTAAAAGCCTAATGAGTTTGCTTCAGCATCCAAACTGGAGAAAAGCTTTAGCCATTAATCGGTTCTTAATTCACTGTCGCAGCTGGATGTAATTCAGTGGCTCCAAATGGATATGTTCCTTTATTTAATCTTTGCAGCTTCGAACATTTTTAGCATGTGGATGATGCCCCCGCCTCCCCCAACCCGATCTAGAGTGATGTTTAATCCTTTGCATTCTTCAAGTTCTCACAACTGCTGTTAAAACGCACTAGTACCAGGCAGTGACCACAGCTGGCAGCTTGGCTAAAAATTGCCATCTCCCATCCCGTTGGCACTGCTCTGCAGCCCGAGTTGGCCAGTCGCTCTTTACCTTTCATTTGAAAGTAAAATGCACTTTGAAAACAGGCAGCTTGCTCTGTGCAGTCGGAGAGTTCTGTGGTTCTTTTCACTTCTGAGTTGTGTGTTCACAGACAGCGGTAGTCAAAACAAGACAGGGCCACTCATTAGAATTCCACACCACGCACTCCGAGCTGATTGTCCTATTAAAACAAAAGTTTAATTGATCCTGTCTCTTCCAGAAAAAATGTTGCTTACTTTTCAGTGCTTTGATTTATTTTTTGCTTTGTGTGCTCTCTGCTTTTTGCTGAAATTGAAAAGAAATAAAGGGACTTATTTAACCTTACACTACAGGTAATTTTCACGTGGTTTAACGTAGACTGTATTTGATGGCATGGTACAAAAGAAACTGCTTATTCTATAGGTGAAAAATAGCAACGTAAAATTCATTCAATAACCTCTCTACTTATAAAGAGGTAAATGTCATATTTATAAGTCATATAATTTCCTTCAGCACTTTTAGTAGAGACTTTCTTCTACCAGCATTTTGCCCCCAAAAATGAAAATTCACCACACTTATTAGATGTTTTTCACACACACACAAAAAAAAGAGGAGGAAATTATAGGCTAAATTATTGTTTGCCTACACGGCTAGCAGGATCCTTGGGATCATGGAGCTGGGCAGAGGCTCGGAGCCAGATGAGGTTCTGTAACCGTTCGAGCCATCTTAACAACCCTCCCCTTGATGTTGCACAAAAGACCACGCTCTCTGCAGTTTCTGTCACCAGATCTTCACTGAAGCTCACACTGTGGACAGTGAAAGCAGACTCCATATCTCACCTTCATAGTTAGAATCGTATATGCAAGATGGGCGGGGTAGGTGTGAGCACATGTGAAGCACCAACAGGAATTAGTGTAGAAGGGGTCCTCCGTACCTTAGTTTGAGTTATTCGATTGTAATAACCTTTAACACTTTATAGTAAAATTGTCAAAGTAAAAAATACATCTTGCACGTGACAAGTTCGTATAAGCATGTATGACTCCACCGTGGAATTGGATAATGTGTTAACGTGTTAAGACATTACACTGACCTGGTATGATCAGAAGTGTCCCCAGGGAGTAGTTATTCAGAAAATGAATGGCTGACCAGATTCAGTGTCTTACCGGGTGAGCAGTCCTTAGACCTAGGGCGTTGAACCTGACCTAGTAGCCTCTGGGCAACACGTAGGGTCTTATGCTTTTACCGCTCTACGTGTGGAAGGGCTGGGAGCTGCTACCAAAAACGTCTTATGTTGGTGGGGGTTTATTATTATTTCTAGAGAGTGAACAGTACTCATTGCTGACCTCCCAGAATACATTTTTGACAAAGTTGAAGGAAGAGTGCTGCACGTTAGCCAAGAAGCTGGAGCAAATCTCTCAGAAGAGCAGGTGGGTACCGTCCCAGAATGCTTTCAGACACTGTCGGTTTCAGTTCTGTCGTTTTCCTTCAACAACAACGTGTCCACCATTTTACAGGCAAAGATCAGAATCAGATACAGCAGGCCCCCTCGTTCATAGTTTCACTTTTTGCAGTTTCAGTTCATCTCGGTCAGTCGTGGTCTGAACATTTTAAATGGAAATTCCTGCAATAGATCATTCATGCGTTTCAAATCGCAGGCAGTTCCGAGTGGCGTGGTGAGGCCTGGAGGGGCCCCCTCTGTCCCACCGGGGTGGGAGTCATCTCTTTGTCCAGCCCTATCTGAGTTGTAGATGGCCCCGCCCCCTAGTCACTAGTCACCGTCTCAGTGGTCAGTTGCCCAGGGAGCACAGTGTGTATGTCCAAGTCACCTTTATTTTACTGAATGATGGCCCCAAAGACCCAAGTAGTGATGCTGGCCATTTGGATGTGCCAGAGGGAAGCCACAGTCCTCCCGATAAGAGAAAATGAGAGACCGGACAATAAGGTATTTTGAGTTGTGGGGAGAGTGAGAGAGACCACATTCATATAACTTTTATTATAGCATATCATTATAATTGTTCCATTTTGTCACTAGTTGCTGTTGTTAATCTCTTACTGTGCTTAACTGATAAATTAAATTTTATCATAGGTATGAATCAAAGGAAGAAACAGGTTTTTCAAGCATCCACTGGGGGGTCTTGAACATATCCCCCGTGGATAAGGGGGTGGGCTACTGAATGTGATGACACGTTTCCTGTGAAAACATTTTCTCTTGTGAACATCTTCTAAGTTGTCCTTACAGACACCTTGGTGTTTTTTCCTGAATATGCATACCTACCGTTATTGGACTTTTTTAATGGTTTAAATGTCATGGAAAACCATGCATGACATTTCAGAACACAAAGGTCAAGATATCAGTTATTCTAATAAAGAATGCAGATAAGTCGAGCAGTTTTAAAGTCTATACATGTAACATTTTAATCTATTATCACAGTTCTCTTTCGCTATAAACATACAAAAGCTATCTTTAGGTCAAATTATAGTAAATGAAATGTGTATCTATAAAAATGAACGATGATACTTGGAAATAAATAACTAAAACCATCCTTTCCTTCTCTTTCTAAAAGAGTTACATTTTAATAAAATAGCCATTGTGCATTTATTATATGTATACAGCTCTTTTATAAATCCAGTGCTTGGGATCTTACCGAATTTTTTTTCTGCACACTTTCTAATCACATTATCTCAATGAGTGAATTATTTTATATTCTAAATTCTAAATTGTAAGATGCCTGAGTCTCAGCTCAACTCCGACAGTAACTCTGTAATCTCAGACAAATTTATTTGACCTGCTTGAACTGTGGTTTCCTCTTATAAATGAACATGATTGGACAGAATCCTTTAAATTGAACTATAAAAGGCAATGTTCACTTAATCAGCTAGATATCAAATACAATATAACCTAATGAAAAAATAACCCAGACTGTATATCTTGTCTTCTGTGTATTTCAGAACTCACTTAGGTCTGCACAGAGCAAGCAGTGTGGCTCAGCAAGCATACCTTCTGACCTGGGTGTCTCATTCAGAAAGAATTTCTGGGGGGGTCAGAGCATCTGATCACTCTGAACCCGACCTTGGTTCCTCCGTCAGTAGGCTGGCTTAGCCAGTGCAACCCCATCTCTGAGTCTTCCGGGGAATCAGAAGGCTTAGGAGTCCAGTTCCTTGTGCTCATGGGAAGGCACAGGCTCCTGTAGCCGCTGGGAACATGCTCTGACAATTGCTCCTTCTCAGCACATGCTGAGTCAATGTCTTGTTCGAGCAGGGGAAGCCCAGGGCACCACGGTGCCACTATTTTCAGGAAGTCTGACACGGAAACCCACATGATTTTGTCTTGAAAGAGACTCAAAATGTCAACAGTAGCAATTCCTAACCAGAAATATTTGATTTGCCTCACACAGATCCAAATGTAAGTAATTGTTAGAAACGAACATACTGGATGATGTAATTTAAGAAAAGTTAAATTGATCTGGGGTTTATAATATTATATTATTTTAAGATTGCTTTGTGATTGATTATTGATTAATTATCTTGCCTTCTAAGAAGGAATCATTCAGGAAATTGGAGTGGATAAAAGAGAAAGGGGTGCTGTGTGCTTGGTATATGTTATATAATTCTCCCAATGAGACAGAAGTTATCATCTTTTACAGATGAGGAAACCAGTCCTCACAGTTTTAAAAGGCTGGTAAGTGGGGAAGCTAGAGTCCTAACTTAGGTATTTCTGGTTCCAAAGTCTGTGATCTTTCTTACAATAAGTGCAATATTTTACATCTACTACAAAAGAAAATCCAGGCCAAAGTAGTTACGATGGGAAAGTTGGGGGAGCGGAGGATTAATCTTTAAATTCTCACAGAGAAGTAGGCACACTTGGCAGGCGAGGCTCAACCTGTGAGCCTGGGTTTGCCTGTGCCCTGCTCCCCAAGGCTCCCTTCATCCTGCTGGACACCTGTCACCTCACCCTGTGCTGGTCCAGTGACCTTGAACCTCAGAACCTCTCCAGCTCCTCTTGTTTCTGACTCCTGTAGCTCTTGACCACTGCTCGTGTTCCTTTTCATCTGATATCCAGATGGCGCTGGATAAATAGTCGTTAAATGAATGAATGAAACGAGCATAGTGCTACTTCCCTTCCTCCCCCATCCTGGTCTGACTCTGGTTCCAGCCTGTTTCTTTGTTGATGACACAGGTGATCAGCCTGTTCCTTTGTTGATGACACAGGTGATCAGCCTGTTCCTTTGTTGATGACACAGGTGATGTGCAGTAAAAATAAACATTCTGGAATTCAGAAAGAACTAGGTTTGAATTCTACTCTGCCATTTAGCTTCATAACCTTGGGTACACTCTGCCCAGTCTCTCCAAACCTCAGCTTCTCCATCTGTAAGTACATTTCCAGCACCATTTCAGGATTGCTGCGGGGTGTGACCTGTAGAGAGAGACGCGTCGGCACACAATAGACATAAAGCCCAGCCCAGCGCGGGACACAAGTACCCAGCAGCTGCTGTTCTCGGGTCTTGACTGGCAGTTTGGACATCACTCCAAGTAGCTATTCCTGTCTTTGCCGGGTTCTGAGTGCCATTTCCTGAGGGAAATGACACCTACATTACAGTGGAAACCTCATAGTGAAGGCAAAGCAGGGTCAGGAGAACGTGGATGCGGCTGTGACTCAGGCTTTGCTCTGGCCAGAGCCCTGTTCTGTGAATCTGAAGAATTAAAACAGGCACCTCCTGTAACTTCACCAGTTGATCCCAATCTAAGGCCTGGCGAACTGTAAACACTCGATACATTGTTCCTTATTATTGGTAAAACTTTAAAAGGTTTCTAAACTTTATAAATTATGTATCTTATGTGTCTCACAAGAAAATAACACACAGGATAAAAATAGTGATTTTAGAGGTTTTTTTGTTTGTTTGTCTACTCTTAAATTTCGTGATCCAGCCTCATTCCCCACTGGCTCTACATAAAGACTATGAGATTTTCAAAATCCATGCAAAATTTACCATTCTATTCTGATACTACTTTCTGCTTTGAAACCCACCTATAAAACTTGAAGAGCTCATGGTGTTTCTTTTAAAATAAAAATCATAAACTTATTAAGCCTGCTAGAAGCCCTCCAGGAGTACCAAACCAAAATGTAGTACCCCATACTAAACTTTTGGGGTAAGTAACTTTTTGAGGTGAGATCTTGGAGTTTTCTGAGCTTGCTAAGGTGGTGTCATTATGGAAGCTCAGTCTCCAAAGTAATCATTTAAACCACACGGTACTTTTAGTTCAGGTTTGCTTCTGATTTCTACAGCAAACTCTCCCCTGGAAGTAGGTGTGTTTATTTTGTATGTGCCAACAGTTTGAAGCACGTTTTATTGCTCCCCTTTTCTTACCAGTGACATTTCTGTAGGAGTTTACGTTATTCTGTAAGAGTTTAATGTTATTCAAAATCCCACCCTCAGCCAGTGGGTCCACACCATGTGAAGTAGGCTCCCTCTTCTCTGGTAGAGCTAGTCATTTCATCAGAGCCCCTGCAGAATGGGTAGGGAAGCCGACAGCCTGGGCTCCCCGCCCCTGTTCACTCTAGCTCCTTACCCCAGCCTCATGGGAAGGTGTTTGGAAACGGTTCCCTCGTGCAGTGTGCGTGTGTGTGTGCGTGTGCGTGTGTGTGCGTGTGTGTTCCTCCCCAAGTCGGCATTATAGCAGTGCGTACTGTTCTGTTCACTGGAAGTCTGTGATTAGCACAGTACTGTCTGCACTGTGTGCGTTCCACACTGCTGGCGTGGTGTCCCTACCCCAGGCTCTGTGAATGGCACGTCCCACATCCCATTTTAAAACTAAAAATGAACTGCCGATCCTGTGCATTTTATCTAGCTTGTGTTTGACCACCAGAGCAAGAGAATGAATTCCGTTTTTCTCCCCACTGGCACGAGGCAGACATTCTGGCTGATTGTCACTGAAGCTCACATAAACTTCAGCTGCCCTTTGATCTTCATTCCCCAGGGCCCTGAGAACTTACTACAGTTACAGGGTTGTTTCTGAACTTGGGAAGCGGAGGTATCTAAATACCTTTGGTGCTACTGGGATTGCTCTCTATCAAAGTGGAGGAAGGGCTCTTTTTCCCCAGGCACTTAGATGAATGAGTAGTGAAATGTTTGCAGTGTGGTTTGCAGTGTGATCTAAAGGGCCCAGGACAGCTCTGAAAGGCTGGGAGCTGGCTGGGGGTGAGCCTCCCCAGCTGCAGAGAGCCGATCAGCACGTGCTGGGTTTAGCCTCTCAGCGCACATGGAAAAGAACAGGATGGAGAGCACGCAGAACCTGAGGCCACTTGGTTTTGCTTCTCTTCTTTCTTTTCCATCATTGTCGCTTTCTGGGTTGCTAGGCTGGTGGATTGATGTCTTACCCTGCCCATTGTGGATTTGTGATTTGCGTTTTGTAATTAAGAGGAACAATG